TATTAAAACAAACACTTATTTTGCTCAGAGAATCCAAAAATGCAATAATATATAGGGTATTTGATTTAGAAAAACACAACTTTGATACTTTTAGGGCTTTTGGGACACTCCGTACATTGCAAAAATATTTTTAAAATGTGCACCCGATAGACGTATGTGGATTCATCAAATAATACTTTGCAAAAAACAAATAGGCTAGCCGCAAACGTCCGTGCCGTATAGCGTGAATAACCCTGTATATAACAATATTTACAACATCAGGATTCCGGGAGATTGTTATAAAACCTGAATATTTCAAAATTGCACCTTGCCTTAGGTAAACCCAGCCTTTATGGTACTGATATTTACTACTAAGATTTTAATGAAAATGGCATCGTTAAGGCCAAGTGTCTTCTAAAAATGCTGAAAATTTTAAGCGAATTTTTAAAGGAGAGAGCGAAGTTGAGTATAAATATCTATAATGACATCCGATATTTACTTATTTTGATTTTGATTAGAATGTATTCAGTGATTAACTAATATTATTTGATTTCATAGAATGATAGGGTCGAGTTTGGTCGTCTACAGGATTGTAGAGTACAATCCACTTTTGGATTCCTGCAACATGTCAACTGCAGAGTGGACGATGATTGCGAAACACATTGAGGTAACAAATTTAGCAGCAAAATAATTAAATCTATTTTACCTAAACTCTACTAATTTTAGCAAAAGTATGAACGTTTCGATGGGTTTGTCGTTTTGCACGGCACCGACACATTAGCTTTTACGTCGTCTGCTTTATCATTTATGTTGGAGAACCTCCAAAAACCTGTGATTATCACCGGCTCCCAAGTAAGATTGCTTTCAGCTAGTCAAAACAAACAGTTAATTAAATGCGGATCTTTACATTGAGTGACAAAAATTCAATTTGTAAATGCATTATTCGGTTGCAGTGTTTTTGATTCATATGCATATGATAGATATATAGGGTGATTCAAAATTTACAATATTTTTGCATTGATCGACACTGACTTGGATAGTACGGAAAATATCTGAAAAACAAAAACGGCAAAAGCCTTGAATAATCAAATATATTAAAAGTTCAGAACTCAGGAAAACTTTGCCTGTAAATGGATTTCGCTGGGTTTCCAGTTTCGCCTGTTTCTTTTGTGTGAGCTGAAAAAAGTGACCTGAAACACAACTTAATTAGGTGAATTTAATTAGGAAATTCTGATCAAATAGTTTCTTTAGTGTTCCCCTAAACTCTCTGTGAATTCCCTCATAAGAATGGTGTTGATTTTGAATCATCTTGTATATGCTGCAATATACTATTCAATATGTAACATTGTGCAATTGAATGTGTTTTAGATTCCTATTTTCGAGCCGAGAAGTGATGCAAAAGACAATTTTCTTACTTCTCTGCTGTTAGCTGGTCTCTACGAAATTCCGGAAGTTTGCGTATTTTTTGGTGGAAGATTGTTGCGAGGAAATAGATCCACCAAAGTGAGTTCCAATTTGTTGAACGCTTTCGACTCCCCCAATTACCCCCATTTAGCTCTTGTGGGAGTTGAATTAAGTGGTAAGTGAATAACAAGCAATGCCATAGATAAAAGATAAAATTAGTAGATTGACAACATTCTAACACTAATTCTCGCTAATACAATAAGATGTCAGAATTATTAATATACTTTAGCCAATTTAACGCTCATATAAATAAGCATACATTTACAGTCGCTTGTCCATCAAAGATAAATTGTCTGCTTTTTTCTTACTTGCAAAGTTTGTTTGTTTCCTTAATAAATAAACACCCTGTTTAAACTGACGAAATATTTGTTTAACATTTTGGGAGAATAAACGGTGCATCCGGAAAGTTTCCCAATTGTTTTCAAACTGGATTTGTTATGACCGCAGTAATTAAATGAAACTTTTGGACATTTTATTTATGGCGCTGTAATTTAATGGAGTTTTACAGTTTTTTTTATCCATTACTTTGGTAATGCTATTTATGAAAATTTCCCGTCTTAGAGTCAAAACAAGAATCCGTTTTTCATTTTACTACTATTCTATTCTTACTACCTATACATTTGAGTATTTTCAAAATAATTTGAAAATTTTCATTCTGTTTGATTAGGTACTTAGTCAAAAATAAATTGCTATAAAAATACAGTGCAAATTGCTACAAAAATGCCCTAATAGGCTTCTTCCATAAGAAGGATGAGAACCGATGACATTTTTTCGATGTCGATACCGCAATATTTATGGAAGTCTGTATGCAAATGCATATGCAAATTTCAACAAAAATAATTTTTGCTGGTCGAATCAGAGCATGATCATTTAACTGTGTGGACGGTTTCAGAACAAATATAAATTTGTGTATTCATGAGTTAGTTTAGAGTGCCTAGTACAGATCTAGAAAGTATTTAAAAAATAGAACTAGGCTTTGCAATCTTTTATTGAATCAGAATACGCCCTGTTTTTGATGGTAGAATTTCCAATGAAAAACACTAACTTCCGGACAGTTTGTATAATATGATATAATTCAGAGTTTATTTATATCCTGTACAGTAAGAAAAGCAAGTTGTTCCTAGTTTTTATTGTGATAATATAGTCAATTGTGATATTTTTTTTCATCTTTTTGCTCAATGATGACTTCAACTCGCATTTTATATTTTAAATATCGTTCTATTCTAAGTGCGCTTTTTAATTTGTATTGATTTATCTCTTAAATTAATTTTAGAATCACAAACAGCAACAATTTTTATAAACATGAGCTTTACTTTAAATGTCCTTCGAAATCGGATCAAGTCCTTTCAATGATAAAAAACGTCTTTAGGGATTTTATTCAAACTTTTAAATACCAACGAACCTATAAGAAAGCCATGTCTGGGCCTTAAAAAATCGACTACTGCCTTTCGCACTAATTAGAAAACAATTAGCAGTTTTTCGTGCTAAGCCAACCGGCTTAACCTTTGCAAAATAATGTTCTCAGATGGATTATAATTTAACGTATTAAATAGATTTTTGTAGTAGAATTTTTGGTTCTTGATAATAATTCGAACATTATTAAGTTTATTATTTAGGTAGGTTTTTAACAACGCTAAGATAAAGCATAATTACATATTTAAGAAAAACAGTCGAAAGTACGCCAATTTAAAAACAGAAAAACCAATTTTATTCTATTTTATTTTCACACTTTAGAACCTTTTTCCATCTAAAAAAGCTTCTTTGTGCGACAGAACAAATTTAACGTTTTTCTCTTATTTGCAGAACAATCCTCAATATATTTACACCTTTTTAATACCACTGATAGTTGAAAAATTGCTTTTGTTTCAGTTTTTCAGATCTATTTTGCTTATTTTTTAACGAAACTTCGTTTCAAACTTTAAATATAAATTCATTGAAGAGAGATTTATCTGAAATCTTCTACATTGTTTGTAATAAAATTCCTATATTTTAAAAGCGTCTTGCACAAGTTCTAAACACTCCCTAAAGAAATATTCTTAATTCGATGAAATAAACATATAAAAATTGTATGTGTTTACTGTTAACTGGTACGTTTAAAACTTTAATTAACTAATTAATTTCAGTTTATAATTCCTACATAAGAAAAACTACTAAAGGTGGTGAATTGATGGTGCATACTAACTTGAACTCCCATGTAGGAACGATTGCTTTCTTCCCAACAATTTCCAGTTTGCAGGTGAGATAAGACGCGTTGAACAAATCGGATTTCCTTTAGAAGTGATTCATTAGATATCAGGCAAATTTTCAAACTCGAAAATAACCAAATACGTATGCAGTAAAACAATATATAAGCCGTTTTCTTTCAGCTGGAATCATTTTTAAAACCTCCAACCCAAGGTCTAGTTCTACAAAGCTATGGAGCAGGCAATATCCCTTCAAATAGAACTAATATTCTTAGCGTGTTAAAGCAAGCTGTAGAGAGAGGGGTGTTGATCATCAACATAACTCAATGCTCTAAAGGAGCGGTTAGTAATGCGTATGAAACCGGGATGGTATGTTAAAAAAGCTGAAAAACTCAGTTTTTCTTATGGAGAACATTGCTTTAGGTCCTCGAAGCTATTGGCGTAATATCTGGATACGATATGACTACCGAAGCTGCTCTCACCAAGCTGATGTGGGTTGTGGGTTTGTCTTTGGATTATCCGACAAAAGTCAAGGTAATATTCAATTATATATTTATATATATTATATTCAATATAAATTCATTATGTACTTAATAATGTGTTTAAGTTTTGGCAATTCTTGATCTTGTACTTTTCAGTTACTAAAGTCGGACCTTAGGGGAGAACTTACCAAAAGTAAATAAATATGATCATCGCATTGTAAAAATTTTATTGTTACTTAACACATTATGTGAATTTACGCGGCTGATGTATGAATATTTTGTTTTTTATGTTGTTTGTACTTTACCTTAGTGTATTGGCTTCTTCAGGAGTATATATATATGGAAATATCAGCTGCTTAGAATATATGTATATGGAAATAAATTAATGTTTATATATAGAATATAATATGTGATGCATAAATGAAATTAAATATATTAAGCTTTAATAAGTGCTTTTGATTTAAACGTTCATAAAAGATTATCAGACATTTTAAAAAATTATTAACATATTTATCAATCGAGTAATAATAAAAAATACAGTACTTTATGAATTTTGCGCCACTTCCTCAGCAAGTTTTCTTTTTTATTCCAAAGACGCAGTTGTGTGCATAGCTGTAACATTTTAATATCGCAGTCGCCTTTAAGCCAATTCCAAAGTAAGTTGAATTAAATTCAAACTAGTCACTATTCACTGGATTCTTTATTACATGAAACTCCAATTTAATGCAAAAAATATTACGTAAGTGGGTTGTATAATCAAAAAATTATACAACGAGAAGGAGAAAAAAAAATTGCCCAGAGCATTGAGCGAAAAAAAATTTATAAACCATAAGCTTTAAGAATCTCATCGCCTCTTTGTCAGTAACCGGTAAGCGACACCTGGATATTTACGACGCCTGTAATTTTATTTGCAAAATGGTTATTATAGGAAGCATTACTAAAATTAGCATTATTAAAATCTCTGGGTAATTAAATACTTTATAAAATAAGTAAAAGTCAAATAATCAGTGTGCAATTTAGAAATCGTTCTCTCTGGATATGGACCTGGACAATTTCACGAGCGCTTTGTTAATGAGCGCAAAGGCAAAACTGTACCTATTATAAATTGGAACGAAAGTAACCCTCTTGAAAAATCTGCCCACTTGAAATGATTTGATTAAAATCGTTTTTAGATGTTTTAGTCGATCAGTATTAACGTTTTACTGGTTATTTTAGTTGGTTCTAATATTCTAAGAAAAAATTCTATTGATTCGAAATGACTATAATTTTCCGGTTAACTTCCACCTTGGTTTGCGCGTTCTGTTTTACACAGCCCGACATCAACAACTCTTCGAATAGCGCTGCAAGTAATCAAACTGATTCGAATATAAAAAATGTATATTTTGAAAGTCTTGAAACAGCAGAAGTATAAATAGATGCCATCATTAAATAACTAATTAACGATTCTGTATTATTGCGCCGCAGATTTGGAAGCCAGTTGGATATCTTAACACGATCCAACTGGAAATCGTCAGTGTTAAGGTTAAAACGCCAGGTGATTCCTATATTTACTTTACAACATTCATTATTTGCATCTAAATGGGACGGTGAAACAATTTTCTCTTCCATGAATATGGGTTAAGGCTATATTTATTTAAATCTTAAATTAAACTAGATGAACTTGTAGAAGCGGGGAATGCGCTCGAGGTAAAATAGTGTCTCAAATATAATAGACATTATTTGCTTGCTAGTCTCTTCTTCCGTTGACTTGGTTTTATTGATTTAATCATCTTCAAGTTTGTAGTACCGACTGGAATCTGCCATAGAACTTATTTAGTTATTCTATGTGAGCGGCTCGATACTTTTTATTGTTGTAAATGATATAGCTGGAATAATTTATTTTTTTAGCTACTTTACTGATGATTTTCCTGATGCTGAAAACTGTTTATTGATTTTAATCTTTGCTGATCGCTTTCACATCTTCAGTAGAAAGGCGGCATTTATCGTCACATGCAAGTTTATTTCTCTTTGGAAAGCTGACCAGTATTAGATTATGATTTTCATGGATACCAACGAAAAAAATTTGGCTGTTGAACTTTCATCCAAAAAAAAAGTCTGACAAACTTCTAAATGCAAATGTATAAAAAGTGTAGTTTTTTGGAAAATCAATATGAATATACATAATTAAACATATTTAGGAGTAGAACGAGAATAAAAAAATAGAAAAATAAAGTGAAGAATGTTTCCTCAGCGGCCCAAAGTAACAATCGAGAACCTTAGTTAGCAAGCTTTTTAAAGCTATATGTAAGTTCTTTGTATGTAAGACTTCCAAGGTAATTTTGTAAGTTAGAAGAGATTAAGGTAAAATGGCTTGGCTTCAAGTGTTACGACGAAAGCAAAGCTACTCATTCGACTTTATAAAAGCAAATTGCAGTAACCGGACGCTGGTACAAGTGTTTCAAAACCTCCACTTTCTCTTAATATCCTTGATTTAAGTTCAATTAAATTAATGAACACTTTTCAACCGCTTTTTTTCAAGTAGTTAAAACACAAGAAGTGTTAAGTTATTAATATAAGATAAAATTAAGAACATTCAAAAGATAATAAGTGTTCAAATAACTGAAAGCAGGTTTAAAAGGTGCCACACATTTTTGTGAACTCGCAAAAGAACAATTAATTTATTGA